AGATAAAGAGAACGGTTGCTCCTTCCTTCCTTCCCTCCCTCCTTCTTTCTCCTCTCACCAGACAGGAAGAACCAGCAAACATACAGCTGCCTCTCAGCAGAGTGATGAGGCCCTGAGTGGCCTTCTTTCCGGAGCCAGAGGAACATCTGGTAGCTCAATTACCAGGCAGTCCTTCTCATAGGGCTCTCCTTTGGGGGCCTCACAGCACTCAGGGGCTGGGAACAAGTCTTTCCTCCCCGCCAGCACGCGAGGCAGGAAGCAGGCCTTCCTTCAGGTTGCCTGGCTCAGCTTCCTGTTCACACAACAGAGTGAAGGAAGAACAGGTGATGGAAAAACGCTAATAAGGAAAAGAACAAAAACAAGAACGAGTGTGGAAATAACACAATGCTGTAAAGTTTTAGTTCATAAGAAATGTAGCCTTGGCTGACATTGATCATTTTTTCACCTGCCAAATGTTGGCCAAGTCCTTCAGAAGCTTCGCCCAACAGGGTGGGAGGGTTATTGCTGGAGTCCAGAGTGGTGATACCTAGAAGACCCAGCAGACAGGACACTATGACACCACCATCCGAAAGAGGCCTGCAAGGGTTTGGTCTCTGTAGGGTGCCTGCGTTGGGCATGGCCAGAGAAGTAACATAGCTCACTGGGTGACATTGACCTCACAGGTCCCTGTGCTCTATGGATGCTAACTAAAGCATAGCTTTAGCACATCTGAACTGGTATTTAAGGTGGCAATAATGAATAGACAAATCAATACTGTTGAAGAAATGCTCCTAAACAATTTCTTCTATTTTTTTTGTTGTTGTTGCTTGTGCTCTAGGTGACAGATCTAAAATCCCATTGCCAATCTAAGGTTAAGGGGATTTATGCCTATGTTTTCTACACAGACTTTTATAATTTTAGAGTATACATTTAGAGTGTTGATTCATTTTTCCAGATAAGTTTTGCATATGATATAAAGTAGGAGTCCAATCTCCCTCTTTGCATGCGGTTATCCAGTTGTCCCAGGGCTACTGGTAGAAAAGACCATTTTTCTCCCATTGAATTGTCTTGGCGCCCTTGTCAAAAATCAACTGACTGTGAATGTCCGTTTAGTTCTAGACTATCGGGTCTGTTCTGATGATCTGTGCATCTGTTCTTATGCCAATACCACACTGTCATGAGTATTACAGTTTTGTAGTAAGTTATGAAATTGAAAGTGTGACTCTTCCAACCCTGTTCTTTTCCAAGATTGTATTTGCCATTCTGGGTCTCTTGAATTATCGTATGAATTTTAGGATCAGCTTGTTCTTATCTGCAAAAAGGCAGCTAGGATTTTGACAGGAATTGCATTGAACCTGTAGATCAATTTGGTGATATTGAAAAAATATTTTTAGATTAGTAAAGAAATAAGGTTAACACCTCCTGAGCTCTGGCACTTGAAGTCAGCGTGGCTTTGGGTCTCTCACATCTGCTAGAATCTAACTCTCACATCTCGTAGAAAAAAATAAAACCTACCCCAGAGGTTGCCAAATAAATGAGACAATCTAAATGAAAGCATTGTGAAAACTATAAGGTATTGTGAAAATCAGAGGTGTTGTTGAATCTGTTTGGGTAGGAAGTAATGAATTCAGTCTTTCAATTGAAGTTTTGATGGAATTTGTATGCTGTGCTTATAAACTGATGTAAGTGAATTAGAACTGACACATTAAAGCAAGTATTTATTGTCCCTCTCAAGCTGGTCATCTTGCAAAATTATATATTTATTCTAACAATGCTACATTTGCTTGAAATATTTTTCACTTATTTTTTCACATTTCTTCTTTTTAAATTTAGTATTTAATTGAATTGAACACACATATTTCAAAATTAATCAAAACATAAAAGTTACATTCATAGGGATCAAATTTATATACTAAAATATGTCTCTGTTTATGTACTTGTTTGGGAAACAAGAAACTGATATAATGAAAAATAAAAATAATTGTATAATTCTTGCCATAATAATATAAATGCTTTCCTGATCTAACCAAGCTTATTGAATTAAAGTTATTATAATTTTATGTTAGCCATTCATACTTAGATTGAAAATTGTATTATAATATCCATCGCATTACTTTGAATATCCTCAGTAATGGCAAATTATTACAAATTGTTGTTTTTGAAAGCAAATTTGATTTCTTGGAATGATCAGAAGTCAGTTGGACCCAAGTCGGATGGCTCAGTAAAGGCAGTGGTCAGCCTGAATAATGTTTTTCTTGAAACTGCAGTGTTATTACTAATAATTTTTTCTTTAAACTGTCGTTTATGTGTTTTAATTAATTAACTTATTTTGTAGAAATTGGGTCTTGCTATGTTTCCTGTGCTGGTCTTGAACTCCTAGGCTCAAACGATCCTTTTCCCTTTGCCTCCCCAAGTGCTGGGATTATAGGCATGAGTCACTGCACCCAGCCATAAACTTATGTGTTTAAATAACAGTTATCCTACAAAGATGTGCCTGGCCCAGGCAGTAATGTACTTGTAATCTGATAACCTGATTGAGAAAATAATCAGGTTCTCCCACCAGGTCGCTCCCTCAACACCTGGAGATTACAATTCAAGATGAGATTTTGGTGGGAACACAAGGCTAACCATATCATTGGGCATATTGATTACTTAGAGCTGAAAGTACTTGAGAAACAGTAGTTGCAGAAAAGTCTACAGACTTGCACTTTCCTATAGGTAGCAAGCCGTAAAAACTCCTTTGTGAAAGATGCCTTCCCTGTACCAGGACAAGAAAAATAACCCTTAGCACCAGAGACTGGGAATTGACGCTGCGATGGATCTGTATAAATAAACCTACTAAAATAGCTGTCTTCCAATGTTTTACCCCACACACACACAAAAAAAAAAAAAAACACATCTCCTGATGATTCCCTGCCCTTGTCATTTCTTCACAAATTTATCAGTTTTGTTTTTGTTTTTATTTTTATCTAAAAGGCATAAAAGCTTTCTGCTTTGTCCGTTTCTTTGGGTCTTCGCTGTCTTGTAAGAGACTCCATGAACATGTAAAAATTAATAAAACGTGTATGCTTTTCTCCTGTTAATATGTCTTGGGTCAATTTAATTCTTAGACCCAGCCAAAGATCAAGGGGGCAAAGGAGAATGTATCCTTTTCCCCTACTCTAGTTTCCAATAGGAACCAATCATTGTGAATACCCGACATGGCTTCAGTCAGTTCAGCACACCTGCCAAACCTAGTAGATGGGAGAGGAGTCAGATTTCACTTGATTTTGAAAATTAAAAGAACATGACATTTCTTTCTCCTGAGGACCAGGGATCAAATGCATGACTGTTACACCTTTATTCCGTCAACGCTGCCAATGCCAACACATGGAGGTCCTCTTTTCCAATCATTGTTGGAGAAAAGTCAGTCTTTTTAATAGTTACACCTGGCATGCTACAGCTGTACCTTATTGGAATCATGTATCTATAATCTCAGCAAAAGAGGCTGAGAGCACCTGCCTAGAAGTAGGGAGAGAAGTCTCACATTTTCTTCTACGTTTCAGGCAGTTCTCCATGTTTACCATGAGATACTCACTTATCTCTTCTTTTTTATTCAACTAACACATATAAAGCACCTACAGTGGGCCAGCCTTCTGTTAGGCCTTGTGAGAATTAGAAATGTGAATTAAATGTAAATCTTCAAACCACTAACTTCATAATCTGGTGAGAATGAAAGAAAAATGTGCAAACATCCTATAGTACAAACCAGAACATGATCATTTAAAAGTGGGATAAACACCGTGCCAGGGGAAGTGTGGCTGCAGGGATGATTAGGCTTTGGAGAGAAGGTTTAAGTGAGCCTTGAAGAATGAGAAGGAATTTGATGGAGAATGGAAGAAGATGCTCCATGTGTAAGGAAAGTCGCAGAAGTAGGAAAACCCTCGTGTGTACAGAGAAGGGTGGCAGAAGGACACAGCAGAAGGCAAGACCAGAAAGCAGGTTTGGGACCATCTCAACTACAGTTTGTACCTTGCACTAAGGAATCCTGCTACGTGGGCTGCGGGGGAATGAAACTCAGCCCTCCCTCAGCTCATCAGCCATACTCCAACCACCCAGAGGAAGCAGTGTCTTTTCAAATTTACACAGAGACACAATAGGGGCTAATAGAGCCTTATTCTTTCTGAGACAAAATCTCGCTCTGTCGCCCAGACTGGAGTGCAGTGGCATGATCACAGCTCACCGCAGCCTTGACCTGTGGGACTTAAGTGATCCTCCCACCTCAACCTCCCAAGTAGCTGGGACTACAGGTGCATGCCTTCACACCTGGCTAATTAAAAAAAATTTTTGGTAGAGCCAAGGTTTCACTATGCTGCCCCGGCTGGTCTGGAACTCCTGGCCTCAAGCAATCCTCTCACCTCAGCCTCCCAAACTGTTGGGATTACAGGCGTGAGCCTCCACACCTGTTCTGGAGTCTCATTCTTGATGGTCCTGAATAGCATGCCAAGGAGTCTTGGATTTGTTGTGTAGGCTACGGGAAGCCCTTGAGGATTTTTGTGGAGGTTTGGAGAGTAAAAAATAATGTGAATAATGAGAATAATACACAGATGGGTATTAATCACACTTTCCTTTGTTGCTCACTCTATTTCAAGTATATTCTCACATATTCACAAAGGCCTCTGAATGGTAAATTTTTCTAATATAAGAGCAAATCAATGACCTAACAGATGAATTTAAGAGCCCATGTTGAATGCAGACCTAAAGCCCAGGTCTCTAGACTTTCAGACTAAAAAAGTCAAAGTCAGTGAGACTGAAATTTGAATTGTCATTGCCAGGGGCTGAGGGGATGCAAGAATGGGAAGTTATTATTGTTTAATGGATACAGCGTTTTAATTTTGTAAGAAGAAAAGAGATATGGAGATGAAGGTATTTAATAGTTTCTTATTGTTTGGGGCTTTTTTATGTTGGCCCCCTGTAAGGATCACTAATGCAGTATTCAAGTGGAATAAAGTGCAAAATAAAACACACGCACACACACAAAATCTAAGAGTGAAAAAAACTCTTATTTCCCCTTGTTTTTTTTTTTAAGACATTCTACATTTTCCGCTTATAACCAAAAACCCTTTAGACCTTCTAGTAAGATAAAGTTAAAACTGTAAACCGTTAGTACGTAGTTTACCCAAATAAGTCCATGATTATAAGCAAAAATGTCAGCCACCTTCACCCCCTTACAAAGGCTGATATATTCCCATTTGTCTCAATGCTAAATCATGTAGCATTTGTTCAATGGTCATTAAAAGCTGTATGCCCTCAAGAAACAACGTCTTGGGCTCTTCTGGGTACAGACCAAGTTTCCACTGCCATAAACACTTAAAGTAGGACCAGTTCCAATGCTAGCACTGTCCTGGTGGTGGCTCTCCCACCTCTGGCTGCGAAGCTTCATCACTGTTTGTGTGGGTCTGGGCACAGAGGAAGGCAAGGGTTGCAGGTCCAACAGCTAGCATGGCATTGCGGGAAGGGTGGAGGAGGCCCTAGAAGGAAATTTTGAAATTGTCAGATACAAAAAGTGGAAAGAAACTTAGTGTTTCTTTTTTTTCTTTTTAAACTTTTATTCTAGGTACAGGGTACACGTGCAGGCTTGTTATATAGGTAAACTCATGTCATGCAGGTTTGTTGTACAGATTATTTTGTCACCCAGGTACTTAAGCCTAGTACCCAATGGTTATTTTTTCTAATCCTCTCCCTCCTTCCACCCTCCGTCCTCAAAGAAACCCAAGTGTCTGTTGTTTCCTTCTTGGTGAACATAGAAACTTAGTGTTTCTTTAAGGACGTCCTTAGGTTTCTGTAAGGAGGCAGGAGAGGCTGAAGTGATGCTGTAAATTATGAGGTTCCTGTTTCCATTCTACTACTTTTTCTACCACCCTATTCCGCCTCACTAAATATGTGCCAATCTATCTCATTTGTGGATTTGTATATTTATTATTTATTTTTCAATTATTATCCTCCCCTACATGAGCGTTTTAAAAGCATTTTTGAGAGATACATCACATAGCATAAAATCCACCATGTTAAAGTGTACACGTCAGTGGATTTTAGTACATTCACTATATTGTACAACTGTTACCACTTTGTAATTCCAGAACATTTTCTTCACCCCAAAAAGAAACCAGTATGCTAAATGAAATAAGCCAGCCACAAAAAGATAAATACATACTGCATGATTCTCCTTATATGAGGGGAGTTGTTAAAGTCAGTGAGACAGAAAGTTGAATTGTGGTCGCCAAGGGCTTCAGGGAGGGAAGAATGGAGAGTTGCTTAATGGACACAGAATTTCAATTTCTAAGAAGGAAAAAGACATGGATATGGCTGATGGAGATGGCTACATACATTAGGAAAGCATTTAATACCACTGAAGTGTATGCTTAAATGGTTAAGATAGTAAATTGCGTGTTTTGTGTTTTGTGGTTACCACAATAAAAATAATTTTGGTAAACACCACAATGAAAAAAATTGGGAAAGGAATCTCTATAGGTATCTTGTAAATAGCAATATATTATTGAATCATTTGTGCTAATAGTTTTCACTTGTTAAATGTAAACTTTTTTTTTTTTTTTTGAGATGGAGTTTCGCTGTGTTACCCAGGCTGGAGTGCAATGGCGCGATCTTGGCTCACCGCAACTTCCGCCTCCTGGGTTCAGGCAATTCTCCTGCCTCAGCCTCCCGAGTAGCTGGGATTACAGGCACGTGCCACCATGCCCAGCTAATTTTTGTATTTTTAGTAGAGATGGGGTTTTACCATGTTGACCAGAATGGTCTCGCTCTCTTGACCTCATGATCCACCCACCTCGGCCTCCCAAAGTGCTAGGATTATAGGCGTGAGCCACAGCGCCCGGCCTGTAAACATTTAAAATACACCAAGTATTAAGAAAAAAAAAAGGAGCCCATACCAATTAGCAGTTATTCTCTATTATCACCTTCCTCCAGCTTCTGGCAGCCACTAATCCACTTTCTGTTTCGATTTGCTTACTGGGGACCTTTTATACAAATGGAATCGTACAATAACATGACCTTTTGTGTCTGGCTTCTGTCACTTAGCATAGTGTTCTCAACATAATGTAGCATGTATCAGTACTTCATCCCTTTTATGGCAACATATGTGGGCTTTTCAAAGTGGATTCCAGGCTCAGAGATGAGTCTTTCCCTCTGAAGGCTTTCTCCTGAAAGTAGAGCTTGGGCATAGCTGAGCTGGGGAGCACACAGGCCTAGGAGGCCTCACTGTACACAACTCGCCACGTGGCCCAAATGTTTTGCCTCTGTACGGGCTCCCTTTTCCCTCTTCAGCGTGAGAAGACCCATAACAGGAGGCCCTGCTCTCAAACTCAGCTGGGATACTATGACCCCTGGTCAGGTCTTTAGTAGTGATGCAACTCACAGGTGTCATAGTGCCAGTGGCCACTCTGTAACTGGTTCTTTTGTTTCTATATAAGCATGTACCACAGAGGAGAAATTCTGCTAGATATTCTGCTAATTGCAGCTGAATGTAGCCTGTGATAACCAAAACCCACTCTTCTGAAGCACGGTTCACTTTGGAGCATACTCTGTTGCACATGCCGCTTGGAATCAGAGGTAAACCAGACCCATTTGAGCTACCTAATGTACTGCTTTGCTGAGGAGCCTGGGGAAGCTTGGTGGTGGGTCATGTGAGGAGGATGGGCCACTGCTCGATTGCAGCAGGAAGTTGCTGTGCTTTCCTTGTTTTATAAATGTTCCCGGATATGGAGGCCGGGTAAAGCAGTGATCCTGTTGGACTAATTCTAGGTATACTATTATTTATCACAGTGTAAAGGGGTAAGAAAGATCACTTCATGTTTTAAAGCAGAAATCTCTTTTAGGAGGTTACACTGGGCGTTCAAAAGTTTTGTGTAATTTTCTTTCTTGCTTCTCTCTCTCTTTTTTTTTTTTTCAGAGATGAAGTCTCTCTCTATCACCCAGGCTGGAGTGCTGTGGCACAATCATGGCTCACTGTAACCTCGAACTCCTGGGCTCAAGTGATCCTCTCACCTCAGCCTCTCAAGTAGCTAGGACTACCAGGGCATGCCACCATGCACAGCTAAGTTTTGGTTTTTCAAAAAAATGTTAATAGTGGCAGGATCTCATTATGATGCCCAGGCTGGTTTGGAACTCCTGGCCTCCAGTGATCCTCCCGCCTTGGCCTCCATCAGCATTGGAATTACAGGCATGAGCCACTGTGCCTGACCAATTTTCTTTTTTATATGTGTTACTTTCTACAATTTCTTTGCTGGCTGACTTTGAAGATTCTTCCTTGGAATAGATGCGATGTTCAGGAAACAGGAAGGTTTTCCTCATCCAAGTTCATGGGTAATTTGATAGGTTTTCTTGGAGAGTTTAAGTAGAATTTAATTGTGAGTATTTGAGTGTTTGAGACAGGGAGGAAGGAGATGGCCGGAAGGGGTAGTCCCTACTTGATGGCAAGACATAATTAAAAGGAATGTTCCGCATTATTTTCTCTAAAACACAAAGTTCTACATGATTCTTATATGAACATGGGCTGAGAAAGCATGCTGTGTTGTGTAGCAGCATCTGGCTTCAAGAATTCATTGTAATGAGATCAACAAAACATGAATACTGCCAGCCACGCACTGAGTGGCACCCACTGTTGTCGGGCTGATATGCCTTCTCATTCTCACTTGCCTACCTCCATTTCTAAAATGCTTTTTTCAGCTTCCCTTGCAGCCAGGAAAAACATATGACATAGTTACACTTAGGAAGCTTTTGCTTTTCTGATAAAAGGGGAAAATATTCCCACTGTGACCCCTTTCTACTCCTCTTCCTTCCTTGAAAGTGGTATGATGCCTGGAGCCATGGCAGCCTTCTTGAGGCAATCATCTTGTTATGATAATGAAAGGCCAAGAGAACCGTCGAAATGTTAGCCTCAGCATCACATCACTGAACTGATGAATCAGCACCATTGTTGTACTTTTAACCTTCATGTTGTTTGAAAAACATAAGCCCCTATTTGTGGAATTTATTTTTAGTCAGATTTTTGCTAATGGATATAATACATGGAAAAAACTTTGCTTTACTAGTACTTACTCTAATACTTCGATCTAAATATCCACCATGTCCTTCTTTGTCTGTCTCTTGTATATTTTAACACTGCCTCACGTCTGTATTTATTGTTCACATTTTTTTGTTTTGTTGTGTTGTGTTTATTTTTGTGTGTGTGTGTGTGTTTTGTTTGTTTTTGAGATGGAGTCTTTCTCTGTCTCCCAGGATGGACTGCAGTGGCAGCTCACCACAACCTCTGTCTCCTGGGTTCAACCAATTCTCCATCCTCAGCTTCCCAAGTATCTGGGATTACAGGTATGTGCCATCAGATTTTGAAAATGAAACTTTCATATAAATATATTTCTTTCTTTTTTTTGGATTTTTTTTTTTTGAGACAGAGTTTCACTCATGTTACCCAGGCTGGAGTGCAATGGCGTGATCTCGGCTCACCGCAACCTCCGCCTCCTGGGTTCAGGCAATTCTCCTGCCTCAGCCTCCTGAGTAGCTGGGATTACAGGCACGCGCCACCATGCCCAGCTAATTTTTTGTATTTTTAGTAGAGACGGGTTTTCACCATGTTGACCAGGATGGTCTCGATCTCTTGACCTCGTGATCCACCCGCCTCTGCCTCCCAAAGTGCTGGGATTACAGGCTTGAGCCACCGCTCCCAGCCAAATATATTTCTTTCAAAATGAATTTTATAAATCTTTTCCCTCCAAATTTAAAACTTAAACCTCTACTAAGTTTCCATGAAAAGAATCCGTGGGAGCATAAGCTTTAAAAGATTTATAAAATTCATTTTGAAAGAAATATATTTATGAGTAAGTTTCATTTTCAAAATCTAATGTGTGATCACTCCATTTAGATTAAAATGTTGCCTGGTGCACTTGCAACCCACACATGGCAGAATTAGTTGGTGTGGAAGAAGGAAAGGGAAACTCTGACTGCATACAGTCCAAAGCTGATGACAGGCCTGTTTGTGCATCAAGACAATATTTTTAGAAACCCATAACCTTAGCAATCTCAAATGCCAAAAGCAGAGTGTGAAATAACCAAACTAGAAAAAAAATGGAGGCCTTATTATTGATCTTTGTCAAACTGATATACCCTTTAAAGAAAAGCATACTATTTAGAAGCAAAAAGAAATGTATGTTTTTAAAATTTTTTAATTACTCCCTTGAATATGTGTGTATGGTTTCTTTAGGAGAGTCCGGGAAGTTGACACTGTTTTGTCCATTACAGATATGGGTCTGTTGTATCATGTAGTTTCCTGTTTATTAGGACCCTTGGGGGAAAATTTCTATCTGATCATAGGATCCCAAATATTTGTAAGTGAGCAACAGGTTTATTTTTATCTCGTGAATACTGTAGGTGATTTCATTGTCAATGGGCTGCTTATTTTTGTTTTCTTCATTGCTTTTTAAAAAAGTTAAAAAGATGCACAAGTCTCATGATATTAGCT